AATGAGTGTGTAGAAGGGGGCGTGGCACATCTCGTAGGCGTGGAATTTTTTATCAGCTATAAGTTCGAAATCATAAGTCACATGAACTTTGAAATCGGGATGCAGACATATCTATGGTGGCCGCATATAATAAGATATATATAAATGAGTTAGTAAAAGAGGGCGTGGCACATCCCATAGGCGTGGAATATTTATCAGCTATAACTTCGACACCATAAGCCACATGAACTTGAAATTTGGTGTACGGGCATATCTACGGAGGGAGCTATATATATATATAGAAGGTGGTATATATGAAAGAGTTTGTAAAAGGAGGCGTGGCCCGCCACATCCCGTAGTAGTGGAATTTTTTATCAGCTATAAATTCGAAAGCATAGGCTCAGCTATGGTAGGTGCTTATAGTAGGCTGTAAATAAATGAGTTTGTAAAAGGGGGCGTGGCCCGCCACATCCCGTAGTAGTGGAATTTTTTATCAGCTATAAATTCGAAAGCATAGGCTCAGCTATGGTAGGTGCTTATAGTAGGCTGTAAATAAATGAGTTTGTAAAAGGGGGCGTGGCCCGCCACATCCCGTAGTAGTGGAATTTTTTATCAGCTATAAATTCGAAAGCATAGGCTCAGCTATGGTAGGTGCTTATAGTAGGCTGTAAATAAATGAGTTTGTAAAAGGGGGCGTGGCCCGCCACATCCCGTAGTAGTGGAATTTTTTATCAGCTATAAATTCGAAAGCATAGGCTCAGCTATGGTAGGTGCTTATAGTAGGCTGTAAATAAATGAGTTTGTAGAAGGGGGCGTGGCACATCTCGTAGGCGTGGAATATTTTATCAGCTATAACTTCGAAATCATAAGTCACATGAACTTTGACTTCGGGATGCAGACATATCTATGGCAGGCGCTTATAATAAGGTATATATAAATGAGTCTGTAAAAGGGGGCGTGGCACATGCGTGGAATATTTATCAGCTATAACTTCGATACCATAAGCCACATGAACTTGAAATTTCATATACAGGCATATCTACGGAAGGTGCTTATAGGAATTTATATATGAAGGAGTTTGTAAAAGGAGGCGTGGCCCGCCACATCCCGTAGTAGTGTAATTTTTTATCAGCTATAAATTCGAAAGCATAAGTCACATGAACTTTAAATTATGTATGCAGGCTTAGCTATGGTAGGTGCTTATAATAGGCTGTAAATAAATGAGTTTGTAAAAGGGGGCGTGTCACATCCCATAGGCGTGGAATTTTTTATCAGCTATAACTTCGGAACCATAAGCACCACGTGCTTGAAATTTGGTATGCAAGTATAGATATGGTAGGCGCTTATTAAAAGATATATATAAGTGAGTTTTTAAAAGGAGGTGTCGCAAATCCCATAATCGTTGAGGTTTTTATCAGCTAAGTATAACTTTAAAGTCATAAGTCACATGAAATTGAAATTTCGTATGCAGACATATCTTTGGTAGGTGTTTATCGTAAGATATATATTAATGGGTTTATATAAGGGGAAGTGTCACATCCCACAGGCGTGGAATTTCTAACCAGCCATAAATTGGGAACTATAAGTCACATGAACCTGAAATTTGGTATGCAGACATATGTATGGAGGTGTTTAAGATTAAGTATATATAAATGTGTTTGTAAAAGGGGGATAAATATGTATTCAACTATTAGACAACTCGGATATTTAAAACTGTGGTTTTCGAAACCTTACAGTCTTTAGACCATCTAGAAATAGAAAGACAAAATCATTTGATTGATCCCGCGTAGCTGTTAAACGAAACATGTGCATGTATAATGAATAAATCTTTTTCTGAAATACGCATTCTACACAGAAAAATGCAGCTATACTAAGGGCCGGTTACTCAATGTTTGGTTAACACTAATCTTCGGTTATAGACGATACCGACTCCCTGTTGTATGCTTGGAGTCGAAGAGGTCGACAATGATGTTTAACCGCAGATTAGTGTTAACCAGACATTGAGTAACCGGCCCTAAAACAGCTAAGCGAATAGGAAGCTAAACGGAATGTACCATAGTAGACTATTAGTAATTAAAAAATATTATCGTTACCTTAATCCACCTTATATTAATAATGGAACAATCTTTTTAGTACAGAAAGTGATGATCAATGTATTATTAGTTGAAGTATGATAATGCTAAAACTATGGCTCATAAGGATGCCTTACTTTTCTCCTCTAATTTATGCAGAACTGAATACTTATTTGTATTACTCGTCGCACAATGGGACTACTGCGGCCAAAATTAGTAAAAACGGATTCGCGAATTCTGAAAAAAGTAATTACACAGATATCCAGCTAACCCAAACTAAAAAGAATATTTGATCAAAATGGATATTTGCAGTCATGGCACGAGCTTAAAGTAGGAACAATGCGAAAAAATTAATTTGTAAGAAAAAATTTTGATTTTGTCGCAAGTAATTTTAATTAATTTTTCCTCTTGTGCGCATATATAAAAAGCCAATCTGATTGCCGAGCAGTTTTTGAATATATCTGTGGTCAAGCATTCCTTTAAATTTTTATAAATCTTTTGAAATGTATAAAATAGTTTACTTTGAAATTCTACATAATTTTGTGAGTATAAAATTTTTCGAGTGCTTACTTTAAAAAGGCATTTTTAACCCTAGAACACACACCCAGAAAATACCACGTAAACACACACCCGGGATACGTTTGTACCCGGGACCTTATTTTGCGGTTTTTTAATGCTTATTCAACCGATTTCTATGATTTTTTTTTTTAAATGTATATTTTAATATATAACAAGTATTTTGTCTTTTGTTTCATTCGAATATTCCTACTGGTTCCAGCGATATGGGCAAATAAAGTCAGGACATGCAACAGTGGATTTTTGTTTTTGTTGTTGTCCTGATAAATGCAAAACAAAATAATATAATTTATAATAATATACTTGTAGAGTAACAACGAATACACATTTTGGTTTTTATTTCATTGAAATATTCTACCTGGTTCAAAAGATATGTGCAAAAAGGTCGCGCAAGGTATGGGTACGTAGGTAGCAAATACACTGGTATAACTGGTTTTTGTATTTTATATGCAGCTGCAAGGGTTTAGTACTACATATTACCATATTTCGGGCCCCGGCGAAGTCGATCAGCCTCAGTCCGTTATCGGACGTTTCGTCGTGGAGGCTGAATTTTCCGACAGTGGCGCCAAAGATCCCTTCCTTGCGATTTTGACATCGTGTCGGGGGCAGCGCTCATATGTACGTTCCAAGCGCTCATAGAAGAGATCCTTGGACGCCTCATCCTTCTCTTCCGTCGGGGCATGGGCGCATTACTGACTCGCCAATCTATTAATCACATTCAACATTCAGCCAAAAATGAACGCTCCTCTGGACGAGATCCGTTTTCGCTGGCAACAGTTCTGCTGGCCTTAGCTCCGTTTTTTGTTCTATAAAATGTAGGTAAAATTGAAAGTTTCAGTGTAAATAATTATCACGAGC